TATATTTTAATTAAATCAAAGCAACTTTAATTTTAAAACATTTAACCCTGTTATAATCTGAAGCCTCCTGTATTGGATCATAACATCGTTTTTCCATCTTAAATATCAAGTTCAACCTAAACTTTGATTTAAAACTCTTTTGACTCACGCAGCCGATTTATATCCTTTTCCATCTTGTCCATCCTTCTGAGCATCCCCTGGCCCCTGAGGGAATCGTTGTGGTGGGCCGTCTCGAGTCTCTCCGAGTGGGTATGGACCTCATTCTTGATGGAGCCCAGGAACACCAAAGCTGAGGCCGTGACAAAGGCCAGAATCGACAGTTTGAAATATCTGGACCTCATCCTGCTGCTGCTGTGTCGGCTGTGAGTTCAAGTTTGGTGTCACATTGACAGAAAAAAGGAGATGAAGGTAATTTAATCTCAGGTGCTCCCTCCCTCTCTGTCCACGCACACACACATGCAGTGACCTATCATACCTGAGTGATCTGATATCCTGACGTTCACAGACGTGTGCTGGTGGGTCTCAGCTCTTCCTCCCTGTCCCCTCTGCACCTGGGGGACAAGGTGTGTGTCATTAGCTGTAGTGAGCTGGGAGGAGATCTGCAGCCAACAGGAGCAGCTCTGCCTCAGGCCAAACAGGCATGCATGTTTTCTCAGGTTCGAACCCCCCTGTGAACCTGACTTTCGTATCAGTGGAGGAAAATCAGTGTGTGTTTAAGGCATATCATGGTTTCCTTTGACAAGGAGAACAAATTCAACAAAAGACATGATTTAGTTCGGTTTTATTTCTGTGTCATGCTCAAAGTTTTTGTCTCTTCTGACATAAACACAGAAGAAATAAAGAATAACAAAAACAAACATGCTTATGTGAAAATGTTAAACTCTCTCAAACAGACCGCTATATTTCCCAAATCACCATTAAACAAACAAAATATTATACAAGCACAACAACATAAAACTTTATCCAGACAAATCAGATCTTCTTCTTCGGGCCTGATTAAATACCAAACTAAGAAAGTGCATTTTATTTGTGTGAGGTCTTAAAATTTCAATTAACAATAAAATAACTTATGTAGGATGGATAGATAGAGCACTGAATCTGTTCCGGAAGCTTCTGAAAGGCTGTTAAACCCATGCTATTGTTCATTGAAATATTACGAGATGCCCATATTGATTTGTCTTTCAACAGCTGTAGAGAGCCAAACAGGACCTTACATCCTTGTGCTAACCTACACTTTCAAACCATCTGTCTTTTGTTTACTTTGTAAAACACACTTAATCAAGGAAGGCAAACCTGAATCAAAGCAAAGGTACTGTTTAGAAAAGCAGTTTCCTCAGTTTCCACCGGGTCAACTCAATAGAGTGGAAAATAGTAAATGTCTTATTTACCAAAAAAAAAGTATTTTTTAGACAAACACTGGCATTGTTGGACATAATGTTGGCTTCTATATTTCATGTATTCAGGTGATGTCTGGAAAAGCCTGCCATTCAAACCTTGTTCTGAAACATTTTTCAGCAATTCTACTTTCATTTTAGTCAATTAACAACCTGAATATTATTGTTTTCTTCTGCAATCTGCGAAACAATGAGGGGAGGAGTCCCTCTGTGTTTTCAGACACAAGAGTTTTCACTTTATTGTACATGAAAAGACACCAAGTGCGACTGAAGATATCATATGAAATCAAAATCCTAATCCCTCAGGCTGCGAACTCATGTGACCGCATCCAACACCAACAATGGAGGATCTGGGTTGATAATCTGTAATCTGAGATCATGATCCTTTCTTGTCAAGTACAATTATGAGGGTATGATTTTCACACTGCTAAAGGCAAAGTGGACCATTACTGTAAAACCTCAGAGAACTCAAGAGAATAAAATATTCTCCAGAAAGGTTCGACTACTCCTAGTTTTTCTTCCCAAATTGGATTAGATGGTTCATTTTATTCTCATTTCAATTTAATGTGTGAAAAAGTTTTAAAATGTAATTTCTCCATTTTACAAGACGCTTTTGCTTTAAGCTATTAGCTTGAGACATCACTCAAATGTAGATTTGTATTTTGCTCTGTTTCTGAACCAATCTGTTATTGGCGAACAAAAAAACGTGTTCATACACCTTTTGACACGCGATACAGAAGCTGAATGATGGATCGGTTTCTAATCTCAACCAAGAATGAAAAGAGAGACAATTAACACTTGCCCACATCTCCAAAATTACTGAACTGATGACCCTTTGACAAATGAATTCATCTATGATTTATGTCACCATCACTCTTCCCTGACCTTTTTACTTGAGGCAAAATATGGCATTTGTGGCCAATGCTGAAAATACACTCTGCTGGAAATCACGTCATATTTATTATTGTACAAATCAAGAAACAAATATATACAGGAGATTGTTTGAAAGTAGTTATTAAAGCTAAAAGGTTATTATAGCTGTACTTCACTGAAACAAACACGGACAGTTGAAGAGATCAGTGACTTGTAACACTGGGATGAAGCGGTTTAACTCTGACATGACGAGACAGTCCGAGTCGCAGACCCTGACCCGGAGACTTCCCTGAGGGATTGTGGGAAGACGTAGGACTTTTACCCATTTGACCTAGGAGGGAAAAGGTCATAAATTTAGAGATAGTGACTCAGAGTAAATGTGTAAATTCCCGTCAGAGTCATAACTGTAGTCATTCATACTGCACCTGGTGGGTTCCACTTGGGTATCCTGCCCCCTGCTGGACTCAGAGATACTACAGGTTTAAATGTAGGAAGTGTGGGGGATGAAGCAGGGCGTTTGGATACAAATTTGGGAGCTGGATGATTTCTCACTGGTGTGGAAGCTGCTGCGGAACAAAGCAGTCATTTAATTTGAATAATTCATCAATTACAAAATCTGAATCTTCTTTGATGAATCTGAGGAACTCACCTGCCGCCACAGATTTAGACTTTGATGTCTTTGACTGTTGCTTCTCTTTCTTAGAGGCTGGAGGTGATTTAATCTTCTTGGGGACGTTCTCCTTCTTTTTTGTTTTGCTGACTTTCTTCACGGTGAATTCTTCATCTTCACTCTCATCCGCTTCGCTAAAATCTTCATCACTTTCTGAATCTGGAAAAGTAATATTGTTATTTTATTCTCACAAAAACAACAATGCTAGAAAGAAAACCACGTAAGGAGGGAGAGATAATAACCTGGTGTCAGTTTGGGTTGATAATCGTCATCTTCTTCCTTCAGGTTTTTCCTCTGCTCCTCAGTGGGGGCTTTTCTTTGTCTGGATGAGGCAGGTAAAACTTTTTCGGATGTGATTTCATCCAGGCCTGAAGAAAACAAAGTGCAACAGCCTCAAAAACTGTTCAAACATTTTCTATACTAGATGACGATGTATTTGTCAAATATGAGACACAAAAATAAGGGAAATTTACCCAAAATTGCAGCATTCACGCTGCAGTTTGACAGGTGCAGTGAGGAGGGGTCTGTGTTTTCATCCAATGGAATAGGAACCTTGATGTCTGCAAAAATTTTTTTTAGAAATCATTAAACTGAAAACACTGTCATACACATTAACTTTATGATTTTAAAAGATACTATACCTTTACTGGTTGGTGATTGGTCCTCTACCTCCTCTGCATTATTGAGCAAGGAAAGCGTAATGGCTGCCTCTAGATCTCGTTCACACAACCTCTCATCTAATGGTCTTCTGCGAAAAACATTTTTCACAAATAATTCAAGATTAGATCGATTTTACTCAGTGTTATATGTCGTCCCTGGTTAATTTACTGCCGCAGCTGAGCTTTGTGAACTGGTATTTGTTCATTTTAATCATCGCTGCCAAGGAGGTTATGTTCTCATTTGCTGTTTGGAAGGGTGGGATATGGAGCATTGACCTTGACAGAGGTATGTACTTCGAGAACACCTCTAGTTTGATATGTTCAGCTTTCTTTAGGCATTTAGGCACAGATCAACATCATCTTTATCGTGTCATTATATACATGGTCAGATGTCACATTCATGTGAGACACACCTGCTCTTCTGGCTGGACTGAGAGTTGTTCTCTTGACTGGACGACCTGCTTGACGATTTCATGTGCTCCTGTTGTTTCACATCGTCTCTGGCCTTCTTCCTGGGTGGAGCCTTCGCACAGGCAAAATCATCATCTGTCACAACACGAAGATACCGTGTTTTAGTGGTGAGAGAGGGCGTGCTCTCATGTTAATGTGCCGATTCATATCCATCTCTATCAATGTGCTAAAACATTTGACTGGTTAGAGCGAGTCTGGCCTCAGGGTGGAAACAATGTGCTGACTGTGAATCAGCCAATATAACAGGCCGATGTGAAGTCTCAGCATTTGTTCGATCGGGTGTCTGGTCAGTGTTCGACAATGCAGATGTTACTTTGCATTAAAAACAGATTGGCTATGTCTTCTTAGTTCTTCTGTTGTGACGGAACTTTGTGGCTGCTTCCTACTAATAAATAGCCTGTGTGAATTCTTGAAGGGACTAAAAAACATTGGAGAAGCTAAAAAGTAATGAAGGATGCCTGTCGTAAATATACTTAGTTTAATTCATTTAAGAAGCATTTAAAGAATATTTTTAGGCTTTATGATCAAACTAACATGGACAAAATATAAAACCCTGGCTATATAGATGTTATGCAACAGTAAATCTGTCATTGGTAGCACTGATATTGTTGTGATTTTAATGATTTGTGTACTTTAACTCACCATCATCACAGTCATTGGGTTCACGGTAGTTCACAGTCTTTGTCTTCCTGCGTGTAAACAACAAACAACGTGTTAGCAACAGACATTAGCAACAGTGTAAGTCAGTGGTGCCATGAACAGGGGCTGAAATAAAACCTCTACATACCTTGACGGTCGGTCCATAGTTTGTGAAGTGAAAGAGGTTTTTATCCGGCTAATGCTAATACTTACGCGAACGTTACATCAGCTGCTCCATCAACACAAACACGTCCAGTGTCAACAGGGGCTACGTTTGCTAGCTGCTACTCGCTAAGCTAACTTCAACTGTCGATGTGTTTAACGCAAACGTGCGTACGATTATTTAAGCGGGTGACACATGTGTGTTATAGCGAACCAGCGCGTTAAAGCAAGCGGATGATGGTTACTTTAGCTGCACGACAGCGAACACGCATCCTCCCTCCTGCGATTTCAACCAGCCCGCCCGAACCCACCAGAAGTGACGTCCTGTCAGCGAGCCTGTCGAGCAGCGGCCGCAGATTCGTTCCGAAAGAAAAACTAAAACACGCGGCAGTACATTTCCTTCAAACAACATTCAGACCCACACAGAGGATGGGTGATTGTGAGAGTCCACGGAAATTATAATTAATCGATTGACTGTGAAATTATAATGATAATAATAGTTTGTCGAAACTGCTCCTGGAAAATACATTGACTAAACCCATAGACTGTATATACAGATATTAAACCCTACACCTAAACCCTGGATGAACAGAATACACAGTTAAAGTGTTGTGATTTGAGATTTAGCAATTATTAGAGTCTGCAGGTAATTTATGTGTATTTAGTCTTAGTTGTTATTTTGTGTTACTACTACATCTACTACTACTAATTATAATAATAATAATGTTGCTGTGTTGGTTGTATACTACTTCCAGGTAGGTACAGAAAGATTTAAAATGAATCATAAGAAATAATGAGGGGAGATTATAACGAGTGGTGCATTACTATAACATTTTCGATGCCTTATTATTCTATGACTTATTTATGTAAATATATATTTCATTTACAGCCACAGTATTATGACAAACAAGTACAATTTATCAAATGCGGTTCCTAAGTACTCGTACTTCTTTGGAGTATTTTTACTCTCTGCTAATTTGTTTGTCAACTTAAGTGTTAGTTGCTCTTTTACAAATAAAGCACATGGAATAAAAACACCAAAGCCATTAAGGATTAATTTAATTGTTTATTAGAAATGTAACATTCCAACAGTTTACACATGTTGTTTTGATCAAAAACTTATTAACGAATCTAATGTGTGACCCCGACAGTTTATCATATGCTGTGGTCTTGCCCAAAACTTGTTCCTCATATTTTGACAACATATTCAAGGTATATGGCTGCAATATTATATATCCTCTGACTGTTGGTATATTGTTTATTCATAATATTAGTATATACATATATTATGTTCTACACTATTGGTATTTTCGGTGCTTGGCTCAGAATGATTTCATTCACTCGCATACAGAAGGTCATTGCAATCTCCTTGTTATTAGCTATGTGCTCAATCTTACTTAAATGGAAAGATGTGACTCCTCCAGCAACCAGCCGGTGGAGCACAGATGTGATGCAGAACAAGCTGCAAAAAATAATCTGATGCACCCTCAACAGCTCCATGAAGAAATTTCACTAAATATAGTACAGCATATATTATACTACTGTATATGTGTTCTTATTGACCTCAAACACACTGTGATGCACGTGTTTGTTTCCCAGCCTTTTGTGTTTAAATGTTCTTTGCAATAATACATCGGGGATGTTTATTTTTATATATAGTTTAATCAAAATTCACATGAATTCCAAATGACACGTGCAAATAAATTGTGTTCAACGGGGATTTGAAGGCATTAATGTCACACCTGCGTGGCCCACTAGATGGTGTCAAAAGCTAAAAACAGCTGCGAGCGGATGTTTCCGAAAGTTTCTGTCGTGCACGTTGCTTCGTGTCACAGTGGCAGAGGGGAACTGCTGCTTATGTAACTGCAGGACACAAGTAGAGGCAACAGTCGAAGGAAGGTGCAGACTTTTTTTTTTTTTTTTTCGTAGGATCGCGACACATTTCCACGGTAAAGCGGGTTTTTTTTGTCGCGCGGTACCACAAACAAACGTGACACCACGTGCACTCGGATCCGTGAATTCAACACAAGACAGGAAACAATAACAGTGACGAGCACGCGCACGGCGCCTCCGCCCAGGAGTGCTCGACCAAGCAGAAGAAAGGAGAAGAAAAAAAAAAATCCTCGACGCCATCTTGTTCCCAGTCGACAAAGCGGCGACCGAACGACGAAATGAAGTCGCCTCGTCCCGCGCGACGCTGCCTTTCCCGCGTCTCACTCCGCGCTCCTAAGCACGCGGGGGCACTTCGCGTCGATCGGCTGTTTTCTCGTCGGAGACTCTGCGTGAGAATGTTAAAAAAAAAAAAAGCACCGCGGGGACGTTGTTCGTTAATGGCGCCGGACCGCGGCTGATCTCCGGGTGCGCCCCTCTCTCCTCTCAGCTCAGGACCCGCCCACACATACTGACTGCATGATGTCATCGCAGCCTGCTCCCAAAAAACTGACCGATCCTCAGCGGCTGTGCGTCATTTACTCTCAAAGTTTACCGCGTCGGCTTTACGTCAACCCCCGAGAGTAAATCGTGATCCTCTCCGAAAACAAAGCAGGTACATTAAAAAATAAAAAAAAGATAATCGACAGCGGGCGTTTAATCCTCCAGAAGCGGTTTTACGGACGTTTGCGATTTTGACGACGATCTGATCGGGCCCCGACTGTCGAATGCGTCCATCCCGCAAAGTTATTTCGAACGTCCCTGCAGCTCGTGCACCAGCAGTTGCGGGGCAGCGCTCCCGCAGCAGTGCGCATGCGCCGGGGGATGCGGTTCAGGGTGGAAGGGGGTGGGGGTGTCGAGAGATGGAAACGATGAGAACATCCCCGCAACATGTGATGTCAAAGGGATTTCTGCAGGAACAACAATAATAATATAATCATAATAAGATTCTACATGCTTTACTTTGTTGTTAAAGTATTTGTTCTTGCTACACTGGTGTTATTCTCACTCTACTCATATTTGCACTATTTCTATTGGAAACATACATTTTTATTCGTGTTCGTCATCTGTACATCACAATGTCTTCTTATGTTTATATACAAACGGTATTCTTACTTCCTCATGCAATCATCCTGTGTCACTGCACTTTATAACATTTCCATATAAACTACTACAGTGAAAGTTTATATGTAAATATTTTTATTCTCTTGTCTCCCTCATTATGACCTGTCTGCCGCTGTAGCAGCTGAACTTCACTGGTGTGGGAATCAATAAAGTTTTCTTATCTTATCTTAATCAAAGTGCTTGTAAATGGTAACTTTAACCAGTGAAAATAACAGGACATTTAACAAGACACTCCCCAAAATAAAAAATATTATACATCAACAACTTCAACACAGCGTCAAAATATGACTTTAGCTACACAGTTCCTTGTGCTGTTGAGTTCATTTGGGATTTCTCCTACAGAGGATCAATAAATCTTGTGTTACAAGTCATAATAAAATGCAACTGCTACAGGTGATGATAGCAGGACTTAAAAGAGGTGCTCGCCAAGATATTTTACACAAGCTTATATACAGCATCAAAACCTGAGTGTAAGATTTCATGAACACAATTTAATTTGTGATTGTATCTACTCCCACTTTTATCCTGATGTTTGCACTTATGACTATTTCCTATCACAGCCCTATGAATATGTTTCCTGTACGGCCCATTTCCTTTCTCCGCGATTTAATCTTGTCAGTGTTTCATGGGTGTTTCATGGGCTATCCCTTCCTAACATCAGTTCAGTATTTGCTGCTCTTGTGTAAGGGGTTACGTAACAGCTTAGCTGCCTCCTACAGTGTTGGGTGGGGGATTTAGGTGCTCCTTTTCAGCCCTGCCTCTGGGAAAACAAAGGATTTTGGGTGAAACTAGCAATGTTTTGTAAACCTGTCTGCATTCCTGTGGCAGTTATTAATGAGCAATCTGGACCGGCCTTTTTCAGACAACCTTTTGGGTGTGCATAATGTGGCTGCAAGTTGTTATATATCCCACATGAAAATATATTGTAGAATTACATTTTTGGCAAAAACTTCCTCTGTGGGTCCGTGCTGAGAATAAGATAAGATAAAATAATCCTTTATTAGTCCCACAATGGGGAAATTTGCAATATTACAGCAGCAAGAGTAATATGTAACATGCAGTACTTAAGTGTAAGGATAATGATACCTTATTGTAAGGAATGCAAAAAAAATAAATGAAATAAAAATGTAAACAGTGTAAAAACAAGAAAAATATGTGCATTCATCTGCTGAGCTTGAGTCACACCTCCTTTCAGTCTGACAGGAAACAGAAGAGGAAACAACAATTAGTTTAAAAACAACCTCCTGATGAAAACATCCCCACAGCTGACTTCACTTTCATAAGCTGATCGTGAAGATAGCACGGACACAGTGGGGACTATTGATAAATGAAAACCACTGAGACAATAACATTAAAAATCAGCTGTATTATGACTATCAAGAATAATTGTCACGTATGATAATAAATAAAGCTGAACTCCGTTTCTCTCCTATAATAATACTTCATTGTCTCGCGGGGGTTTAGATCCAGAGCGTCACCGACAGAAATAGCAGAGGCTTGAGGAATCGCCGCCGTGAGCGCGCACTGGAGCGCGGCCGCGGCGCCCCTGTGAAACCGGGAGTGTAGCCCCGCAGTATGAGGGGGCGGGGCCCGGGTTGAGCGGTGGGGAGGGAGTGAGGGGGGCTCGTGGGGGAGGCGGAGTCTCAGCAGTCCTGGCAGGGCCGCCATTTTTGCAAAGGGAAAAGAGACTGGTCTGAGGGGATCTAATTTCTAAAAGTCGCCGTTGACTAAGGCTCAGTTTTAACGGTTCCGACGTGATTTTTAGCCTGAGTTCGGGTCCCCGAGTAGAACAAGAGGCAAGGGATTTCTCACGGGAAGGAACTTTTTAGAGGACACGCAGAAATACAAACATTTTGAAGCTTTGCTAGGGATCCGCAGTGTGTGGACAGAAGTATTGTTTTGGTTGTGGAGGCTGTGTGGAAAGCGACGGGTCTTCCCCTGCTCCCCTTATTCGCTACTGAGATCCTCCAGAGTGGACATAAAACGGTGAGTACACCACATTGAGTGTTTGTTGTGGGTTGAGCACAAATCCGACCTGGAAGGCTAACGTTGGCTTTGGTTAGCTGGCTAGGCGCATCATGCTGATGCTGGCTAACGTAGTTCTAGTATCAGCTGAGCTTAGCTCGCTTGCTAGCTAGCTGGTCGATATCGTTATTTCGGGGTCTGCAGGTGCTACGTCCCCTTTGGTTCGTATTCCCTTCAATAAAAAAAATGAAACCCGCTAAGTAGATGACGCAAGTTTCTAATGTAAGTGTCAAGTTGGAGAGCATAACGTCAGGACACCACTTGCTAGCTAGCGCATGCTACTAGCTCAAATTAGCTTGACACAGACCGACCAGGGCTCTGACTTCTCGCTATAGTGTGGCCAAACGCGACACATCATACAAAGGTGCGGGGTCCGAATTATTCTACGATAGCAGGGATCCATTTGACAACGTGGTTGAAGCAGCAGTGACGCCAATTACACATTAGCGGGAACGAAAACGCTGCATTTGGATCGTCTGTCCCATAACGTGGAACATTTTCGCCAGAGCAGAGCCAGTCAACAACAGTTAACATTACCAGCAGTGAACTTGCCCTCAAAATACGACATATTAACAGGAATCGTGCGTCGACTGATTATAAATAGAGGCAGAGGGGCGATCGCTCGGTGTTCGGTGTGACACAGTGACACTGCGGGCAATGTTGCGCACGATTTCATCCGTTTTAACGTAAATAATGTTCCCCCTCTAATGCAACGCTGCCCGCTTTATTTTCAATTACTCTTTACTCTGCCAGTCGCTGCAGCTGTGGAATGTGCGCTTGCTCCTCCAGGAGCCGTGTGTTACTTGAATACACTGTTTTAAACATTGCCACTCAGTTTGAACGACGTAAATTTACCATTGGTTGCAAACTTGAATTCGTCGTGGTGGCTCCCATCCTGCTCACCCCAGAGCATGGGGCATTATTTCCGTTCAGCTTAATCTATACAATGCCGCTGTTCAAAGCCGGAACAATGAGCTTTTACATGCACGTACACAGACATATGGTGTTAAATCTATGTCCAGATCTGCTCCAAGCACAGGTCAGCTGTTGAAATAACTTAAATGCCCGGGTACATTGCGCAGTAATCTCACAGGCTGCCGATCTTTTATAGAATCGCAACTACAGCGAGATGAGCCGAGAATAGATCAAATGTCGAGCGAGGAAATGGTGGCTGCTGTTTTGTTGTAATCGGACTTAAAAAGTACATTTCGCGATCACTTAATTTAGATTCGGGGTGTATTGGGTTCAATTGCTGCAAGCGTGGGGGAGGGGATGTTCCATTTGGGCATCTCGCCTCAGTCACACTATTCCTAACTCCATCTCGATCGGCAACCACCAGCCATGCTGATTGTTCGCAAATGACTTCCAGCGGACCTTAAACATATTACCGTAGGAATGCGCAATCGGCTTTGGTTTGCCCCAAGGAGTTATCTCTCAACGATGTCGCTCTTTCCTGTCTGTGACGAGCGAAGTATTAATCCACTTTTGCGTCGCTGCTAGCTGGCCATGCTAACTCTAACCCACTGCGCACTACACCGCTAGCTTCCGTCGGCTCCCGCTAGCTTTGTGCGTTAACTTTTTTTTTTTTTTTAACTTTTTATTCGCGTCCCACACTGGCTAGAAATCCCGAGTGTCACTGTGTGAATCGTTGCTGCCTTCGCCACACGCACTTTACGTGCTTCGGGTCGTTCCACTGCTCCGATCACCGCCTGCTACATTTCGACAGGCCATAATTGCTAGCCGATTAGCTCACGGGCTATGCTTTCGACGAACTGACAAAAAAGAAGCCCACTGGTAACAACACAGACTGTACCGACAGGGTGATACTTAAGGCAGAGTGTATGAAAGAGGCGATTGAATGCAATCTTGGGGATTTTCTGTCCGTGGCGAGCCTCCCCTGGTTACACGATTGTCTCGCCGTCCTGAGAAAAGCGCTTTGAAAATGGCGACAGCACCAGGGAGTTGTGTGGTAACATAATAGCAACGTTGTACCCTCCACACCCCTATCGGCAGGACTGACTGCAGCGCCGACACACTCAACGGGGAGCAACTACACAACACATGCTATTTTTTTTTTGTATCTCAGTTGAGGTCTGACAAAACAATACTATCAAACAATTTGGACCGTGTCGTGGAAATAAAGCTGTGCGTCTTTTGGATTTTCACCAGGAGTCCTCGATGCATTGGATAGATTGTGTTTGTTCCCAAAAAAAACGAATAACACAGCAGCCCTGTAACGTGCGTCACGGCTTTTGCTTGTGTTTCGTGTTGTGATGTTGGCACATGCGGATTATTATTTAGAGAAATTATACAATAAGTACGAGCAATATACGTTTAAAAGCTTGATGGTGTATATTTTTGACAACAATGAGAGACTTTCATCAAGGTACACTAACACACCCCTCAAAATAAATCTATTTAAGACTTGCTTCTCTCTCCGCCGCACATCACCTGCCCAGAATCATCTTTATTACATTAACACTGTTATGCAGTTAGTCCCCCACTACCAAGCTATAGTATTCCTGTTTACTGTTTTCTGTTAATCCCTTTCAAATGTAATATGCTTTGTGTTTTATTGAAACACTGGGGGGGAGGGGTGTGTGTGTGTGTGTGAGAGAGAGAGAGAGGTTAGTTATCATATTAAAGTCATTTGAATATGAATTCAAGAGCCTACTTTGATAGGTGAGTTTATTTGAGCACATTCAAAAACGTAAAGTAGATGGATATTTACTTACTACCATGAACCTTTGATAACACAGATATTGTGGTTCTGATATTTTTGTCTGAGGTAATATATCAATCTCTTGCAGTATGAACGTGAAAGTAAAATAAACACTGCCTGTATCTCTCCAGATCCTCATATTTTGGACTCTATATAGTACACGTGTAAAATATGAACGTTTGTGAACACTTAAGGAAAGGAATGTGCCCCATGCTGGCTCAATTTTACCAGTTTTGTTGAGCCAGTTCTGAAATCTGAATCCTTAAAAATAAACTTAACTACACTAAAAATGGGAAGGATCCAAATCAACAGTAGTTGAAAGGGTAGAGTTTAAAGCTCATGAGCTTTCACAATGTTCTGTGTTGTTTCTTTCCTCTACATCAGCCCCATGGGATGAACTTTGGCACTTTGTGGAGCTCAAATGTCCTTTCATGCCTATTACCATTTGCCAAGAACATTTTTTTCTTGTTTTCTACTGATAATTTCAATGTCGGTTCAGTGAAAAGTCGGACGTTTTCCAAGTCGCTGAAGGGCAATGAGTCAATAGGTGCGTATGCTGAGGTTTCCCTCAGACGCTTGCATTATCATCCAAACTATCAACCACTGTAATCAGCTATGTAGTGCTCATGTTAGTATGTTGTGCTGTTGTCCACTTCTCTGTGGACCGGTAGTAGATGTATTATACATATATGCCACAAAAGCATGTAGGAGGAGGAAAGCAGGACACAGACCTCTAAACTCCTCATCATGATGTAGGCAGGCAGGTTGGAGTCTCTGTATCATTATTCATCTCATATACATCACGACGCACCTGAACAGTTTGTATAGCTTCTGCCCATTGAGGACCAGGTTCTTTTTAATGAGTTTCAGCTGCCTGTAGATATGGTTCATTTAATAGTGACAAAGGGTCTTCTCTTTTAAGGAGGATTTTCTGTACAGCTAGATGAGTAAGAGGGCACTACTGTACTTAATGAGTCTCTGCTACATAATACACAAAATCCCCAGTCATCTTTTTCTTTCTTGTGAAGGAGCAGAGGCCTCAGACCTGATACTCACCCCCCCCCCCCTCCACTGTATAGTGTGTTAACTACCTGACTGGCTGTATGTGTGCCTGGTTCTCTTGTGCAGCGAAGTGTGCGTCTGCTTGCTGTGTTAACAGAGACGGTGACAGGAGGTGAGCTGCCACTCCCCCTCTGCCATAGGGACGGCGTACTCTGTTAGGCAGCTGGGAGACTCCACGGTCTCAAATGACACACCTTCCCTCCAACCCTAACACCTAAACAGTCTCTCTGATACATATGATCACAAAGTCACAAGCCGGAGACAAAATATCAACAGAAAGAGAGACAATAAAGACGTCAAGCAAAGGCACAGGGTGTTTATTAGTGTATTAACATATTAACATGTAACAGGGCAGATGAAGGTCACAGACTCATCAGCTTTCTCTCTGACACTCCTGCACTTGGAAAAGCTCACCTTGTTGTTCATGCTCTTGCCCCGTCTCCAGACAATAAAGTCTCACACCTGAAACAATAGCATCTCTGTGTAGGTGAAGTGTGAGTCTCTGTAGACACACATCTCACCTCAGAGGAAGGGGGCTAAGCTGTGAGGCTGTGGTCTGGTCTCCAGCGTTCACCCTTGTGTGGTACCCAGATCCTGAGAGACCCAGAGACAAAGCTGGCCAGCTCTGGGGCCCAACACAGTCACATGGCATCCCAGCTGGGACGAGAAGCCAAGGCTCAGGTGACCTGTTTTTGTGCTGCTAGCTGGGCCGTAACAGATCCCTCTTTAAACTAGCAAGCTGCCTCCCTGACAGGTGGCTTTAGGGCTGGGGCTGCAGAGGCTGCAGCCTGAAGCCTGACTGCACCTTCCTTACTGTCTTCCTGTTGCTGTGCCTATGTTACAGTTGCATTTGTGGGTAGCAGCACAAGACGGGCTAGGCCAAATAAAGAGATGTGCTGTTAATGATGGTGATGTAATGGCACTGCAGTACAGGCGTAAAATTGATCATCAAACACTGCTGTAATGGGACCTGAGTGGCTCTTAGTATTTTGCCCCGTAGATGCTGAGTAGCCTCTGACAATTTTCTTTCCTCACACATAGCTCACATTTTATTTAGCTGCACAATGCATTCCCCAAATGCTTTAATTAGCTGCCAGCTGCAGATGTCCCTGCTTGTCATTCTCTGGTAAATCCAGGGGAAAAATCAGAACTACTTTAACAAACACACACACACACACACACACACACACACACACACACACACACAAACAGATAAAGATGCCATATGAAGTGAGTTGGATTGTTTGGTGTAAATATGTTTAAAGGAACTCACCCTTGATCGTACATTGTCCGGTTGTTGTACTCTGTAAGCAGCAGTGAGTAGGAGATGGAGAGATTGTACCCCAACGGTTCTCCGTGAACAGACATTACTCAGACTGCGGGGGGGCTGCCCCAGGTTTGCTGCCAAACCCTTATCCTAATGACTTCAACCTGCTAATTTCCTGGTTGTTTGAACTGAGCACAGAGGACATTGTTTTGATTTGTCTTGCATCTAACTATTGCAAAACAAGCTGGTGTAGCAGATGCCAAGCATGTTGTGACACGCTTTTAAATGACAGCCCCACGTCCACATGGAACTGAACATGTAACCATGAAGAGATCTTTGTTCTTCTCCTGCACTGCTGGCCCTAAGCCTTTATTGTGTGCTAGTTGCTAGTTAAGGGACATGAGCACTTCTAAGTCAGCTGGCCTTTACAGTCCAATGAGGTTATTGCACACACAACAGCACATCTCTTAATGTGGCCTCAAATATTGCTCGTGTGGACGCTAACATCCACATCCCCTGCTGTATTGATGTAAGACTTCACCTTCAGTGCTTGGGTGCACAGGGAGTGCTGGCAGCCATGGGCACACTGATTTATGAAGGACAGGGCAGATGCAATGTGTCCCACTGTGGGCACCGTGAAAACGAGGGCCAGGCCTACATTCCATCTGGGTCATGCTTCCTGTGTATATGACTCTCCTTGTGTGAGTTCGTTTTATCCATTTGTTTGTGAGCTGAGTCATTGCACCCAGCAGTGAGGACATGTGAAGTCACATCAGCTTGGCAGGGGAGCTGTGGGATTCAGTTGGAATCCCTCATTTTATCCTGCTCCTTATTGAGAAACATAATCTTCCCGAACCTGGCTGCGAAAACAAGAATGAAAACACTGTTACACAAAGATTGGTGGTAATAAACTGAGGAGCGAGGAAAGCTGTTGTCTGTATGTGGTTTGAGTGTGATGGTATGGGTTTTCCCTCACTGACTTCAGTGCGGTTCTGTCTTAAAAGGATAGTTATTCCCCACACAATGACGTGACTGTGTCCCCTCACTGAGGGAGGGAAGGAGGAGAAAGGAGAGACTGGGTTACGCTATGTGCTCCACTCTGCCACCCAGAGTCCACCCAGGCTGTGTAGCGTCACTGTCAGGCAGACCCCATGTACACCTCCCCCACCCTGCTGCCCTCTGAAATGGAGGGGCTGTGGATGATTTCTAAAGCACACGGAAATCTCCTCAGAGAGCACACGAAAGGTGAACAGTTGTAGAGAGAAGAGGCGCAACGTAAAACCGCAACCACTTCCATCCTGTGGCTCATTTTTACTACCGTCCACTTTGGCTGCATATCTCCCTATTTCTACTCACCCTCCCCTCTGCATGTTCCCCATTTTCTCCACCCCTCGCTCCTCTCATGTGTTTCCATAACAGCGGAGGATTTGGCCAAAGGTGGCTTTAAATGGTCTTCCCAGCCTCCTTGTAATTAGGAACAGTGTCTGCGACACTCCCCTTCCCCTCCGCTCTGCATTACTGTCTCAGGTTTATTTAGGAAGTGCACAGAGGAGGGAGAGAAATCCGACTGGGCGGGGTGACTGGGCACAGGAAGGAGGGTGATGTGTTTTTTTTTTTCTTTTCTTTGGCTGCATTTCTCCCGGGTGATGGACAGCTCTTCCAGAGGAAGTAGGAGGAGCAGGCAGAGGCCGTCACAGCGCAGCTCAGATTTAGTCAGGAATGCTGCTGCACTGTACTTGTTTTTCTTTCTTCCACTCGTCTTTTGTCAGTCTGTGGCCCGCTGCAGAGCAAGTGTGTTTGCGCACCACGAGAGGCTCCTTATAGAGGAATGTTTGAGAGGACAGGGCTTGGGGTTATCTGGCTGTGTGTGTGAGTTAAGGGGGGGGGGTGTATGTGTGAACGTGAGCTTTAGTATTCCATAGTAGTGACATCAGGATTCCCTCACTGGGTCTGGGGTTAAAGTGGAGACAAACCTCTTGGACGAGAGGACAAACATACTATTTTGCTAAAGTACACTTGGCCTCTCATATACTACAAAGGGATGGGTGGGGTTGTAATTTCATTTTTAGGAAAACTTTCCTGTCCTTGTTAAAAGTGAAGGTTCTGGTAAAATCAGCTTCCATCTTGAAATGCCGCTGTCTGTGATATCAAACCAATCAGTGCTCACAGACCCGCATGAAAATCTGGAAAGTGATCCCACCAGTAGCCTTGGCTGACACACAGGCTCACAGGGGTCTTCTCCCTTCTATTAATTAGGCCTGGAGATGACAGCTGTCATGTCTGTGAGCCTCTCACCAGTTCTGCTGGCTCACACAGTGATTTTGGGTGAATTAGTAATTGAAATTAATCGAATGGTTCCGTTGCTATTTAGAAGAAAAAAAACCTTTTGTTGCTAAGAGAGAAGTTTCCCTGACAGAAACAGTGCAGTCACATCTGGTAATAAAATCCAGTTTTCTTGGAAAGAGACTTTTACATGTCGGGGTAATACCTCATAGGCATGCGGAGATGTTTTGGCATGATGCACTGTTGTTGCTGGCCAAAAGAGTGACGTATGGTCCTACTCGAATCATGACATATCCTTGCTTTGTAACCCCTCTCCCATCTACACCCCGAGCTAAGATCTGAGCTTTTGTTTGGCCCCAGTGTGCATGAGCAGGCGGAGGTGTGACCTCCAGCCTATTTTGTCTCGGCATCTGTCCCTCCCACTAATCCCGCTTATCAACAGAGCTCTCTGTATCAGGGGCAGCCACACCGACATATGCTCTCGTCTGGATTCAGGCGCAAATACATGGCTTAATATTCCTATCGTTACTATCCCCAGTGTTTAATTTATTAATCCATCAAACCACCTACTCTAGTACCGAAAGGACATAGTCAATGCCTGATGCCTAATATAATCAATCATTGATAAAGACTTGATCTTCCCTATGCTGTGCTAGAGATGCTAACAGTGGCAATGACTTTCCTGTTGAGAGAATGTGTGGGTGTGCAGTTGCAGTGTTAGATTTTGTTTGTGTGCACGTTTAACCAGGATGAGAGTACGTGTGTGAGCTCGGAGCAGAGCAGTCAGTCGAAGGGGGGAAAAATGGCCTCTGTGTTTTGTTCTGTGTGCGTTTCTCCTGCCTCCTTTCATGGCGGCTGGCTGCTCTGTGTTCTCTTGCTCCCCTTAGTGGCGGGAGCTTTCTTACAGTGCGGCCCTCTGCATTCCTGGCAGACTGTGTGTAGAGGTTGCTTTAGCGCAGTTCACAGCAGCAGTTTCACCTCACAAACCCATATCCTCTCGCTTTTCATCAGTTAACACCAGCTCTGTCGGAGGGGGAATTCCTCTCTAACTTGTCCCTGTCCAAAACTGTTCTCTATGAAAGTATGAATTAACGTGTTCTGGAAATACCCCATGTTCACTATGATTTGTAATTTCAGGTGTGCTTCATACTTGGAATGAAAGTAATGACACATCATCCCTCGTGTCAGGGGATCATTAATTTGTACTTGAATAATGTTGCTACACAATACTGATCAAATGTCTTTGTTCCCTCTCTCTATTGTCCAGGCCTTGTGGATGCACTTAGATGTCTGCAATGACTGCTGTGGCTGGCATGCCTCAGTGTTTTGGACTCCCATTCTCTGGACTCAGTAGGACAAGAACTGATCAGCAGAGAACGTCATGAGCATAGTCATCCCAGTGGGGGTGGACACAGCAGACACCTCATACCTGGACATGGCGGCGGGCTCAGAGTGAGTAACCCCCAAAAACACTCCTTGTTCATTCTTATATACGATATTTGTCAATTTCACTTTCTCCAAGCTCTAAAATCCCTCACCCCTCTCCCCACTTCTGCTCACATTTCTCACCCTTTTTTGGTGTTAGTCACATTCACTTGACACTTATTTGATCTTATATGATTTCCCTTGTCCCTCCTCTCCTTTGTATATGCCCCAACAAGCCATCTGTAATGACAGAAGCAGCTCAGTCATCATTTTCTTTTCTGTGAGGCTTGATTCAATCCTCTCTTTTTGCATAGATCTCCTCTCCCACATTTACACAGTTACCGGTAATGGGGAAAGGAATTTGCAGTCCATTTGCTAGGCCCCTCCAGTGTCTGCTCTAATGGACAATTCTGTCTTTTCATTGATTATACTGGCACTCAGCTATTGCTCCTCACAAAGACATTTTGAGTGTTCAGCTATTAACTACATCTGCCCATGACAATAAAACTGGCTTTGAGCCCGAGCATACAGAAGCACCCATGATTTTTCTTGATCCTCTCCTGCTCCAGCTTGATGTTTGCACATGTGTACACTGTGTTCATTTAGCGAGGTAGAAATGGTGCATGGAACCATGGCAACAAGCCTCCTATTACCCCTCCTCTCTGTTTCCTATAGTCTTTTCAAGGACATTGCCGTGGCTTTTTCTGGTCAGATAAATGAAGCAAGAGGTTCTCGTATGACTAAAGAATAATACACGTCATCAACTTACGGAGGGGCTCCTGTCTCTTTAAAAGAAGGAAAACCCTCCCCTATGCCTTCATCAGAGCTGTTGCCTTGACAGCTTGTGTTGCCATGGTATCTGCACCTCAATCCCCTCCCTCCCCTCTGCACTGCGCAGGGCTTGTTTCCATGGTCACTGGCCTGAGTGACAGGTGGCCCTCACATAGATACGGCGTCTTAAACAGTCTCACCGCATCCCCCTGCCTCCCCCTCCTTCTCCTCCTCTCCACGGAGCTGTGTTGCCACAGGGGGTAGGAGTAAGCCCCTGACTTGACTCTCTCACTCACTCTTTGTCCGTCCACGCTCTGTGTCCGATCACCTGCTGCAGATTTATTCAAAAGCAGATAACAAGCTTGAAAGGGGCTTCCACCTACTGCTGCGCAGGTCCCCTCCTGACCAGAGGGACAGAGCGTAGCTGGACACGCACATACGCACGCAGCTAGCATTGTTTGTAGAGTATTGTGAGTGCGCCAGCCAAGTCTAGGAACTGCGGGGCTGACTACTCACCAGAGAAACAGCGTCACGTCCTTTCCACATCCCCCTGAAGTCTGCAGCAGCGTGACCAGCTGTTGGCTAATGTAGTGTGTGTCCACGGTGACACACGGAGCCTAGCGTGCGCGCACACGCTGACAGAACACGTAGAGTTGCCATAGCAGCAAGCGAGAGCTCTTTGGGGGTGAAGGCGTTGCCTCTGGCTGTTCAGTGCTGCTCTTTTCTCTCCTGCTGTTGATCTCTCCATTCTCCACACTTGTCCACTCTGCCTCTTCATCCTCTCACAGCAGGTGCTTGCATTTTAAATGACATCTGTTCCTTCGTTAAATACGTGACATTTATAAGCTATAAATAGCACCTAGGGAGCTGCCACCTTGAATTAAACTTCAAGATCCAAACACTTCTTATTCCACTGTCTTTCTCTCCCTCATCTTTTTTTAATTTGTGACGCAGGCCAAAGGTGCCAGGGTTGGAACATGAGCATGACTGACTGCACATCTACAACCCTCCCACTGATGTGTACTCTGACTCTCTAGCCCCTCCTTCCACTTCACAGGAGTGGTGATGTGAATGATACCAACCCTCCAGTTATGCACACATGCATTCAAACATGCTTATGTACTTCCCACTGAACAGGCTGGCTCACTTATATGCTGCCTGTCTCTGTCACTGGCTCTGCACTGTGAGTCCTTTATCTCACTCACTGTTTCACTGGTAGGTCCAACTAGAAGAGTGATCCTGGCACTGAATGTACCCAGTCTCTCGCCTCGGTTTTATTAAGTGTTAGCTTTAGTCTGGTTAATGATTAAGTAGAATGTGTCAGCTCACCGCACTCTCTCAAGTAGGATTTTTAAATTTTGACTGTTTCTTCATTCTTAAACATTTAAAAAAAATATGTAGGTGTCACATAATCTGTTGTGTACACACGCACAAAACACACACACACACACACACACACACACACACACACACACACACACACACACACACACCTTCCCCTGGGTCTGCCTCCAGACCTCATGCATGCACTTACATTTTCACTTTGACAGTGAGCAGCGATACACACAGGAAGTGTTGCATAGTGCTCTTACGGCATGCAACCGGAGCATAAGGGCAGAGACAGGCTCACGCGGTGCCGTGTCACCACTTTACCTTTGGACTAACTTTTTAAAAAGGTGAGTTTAGATGAGGGATGGTGAGAGTTATGTCTATTTTATTAAAAAATTCACTAATACCATTAATACTCGCTCCAACTACTTAGTTAGTATATCTCCTAATGGCACAGTTCACTGAACTTTGTTTCTGTATAGGGTTTTTAGAATGTGTCAAAGTACAAGCAAAGCTGAACAGTGTTACATAGTGAGAAATACTGCACGGCCTGTTCCTACACTCTTCAAGTCTTTTGTACTCATCTTGCTGTGTGTTTCCTGAGAGGTCAAGTTTGCTTGGTGTGCTTTTCTCCATGTTTTTGCCTCGTTCATGTAAACCTGCCGGCAGTTGGTTTCATGGAGTTTAAGGTGCAGCTCTTTTGTTTTATGTCCATAGGGTATTAAGAGATTAAAAGAGCAGGGAGGGAAAGAAGTTCATCTGCTGACACATTAACTAAATCATAAAGGTTTTTGTATGTCTCTTGCCACGAAGCAGTTTTCTAAACACAACTCTGTAAGCAGAGATGTTTTTACATGATTTAACCATTAACACGTGGATATGTGACTTCCAGATTAATAGCTGGCATTTTTATCTCAAATGCTTCTTGCGTGTCTTGTAACGTTCAGCCTCTTACATTTTCACATTTTTTTGTTTGCATCTGATTATCTTGTCTCATGCCGTCCGTTTTACCAGTTCTACTTCCCTCTTTCCTCTGGAGCCTCCCCCTCAGCAACTGAAGAATAGACCAATCGTGTAATAATAAACGTGGGTTGGCCTCAAACGGCCAAACAGGCTCCCTCCCCGGGTGCACTGTGATCTGAGGGAAAGTGGATTTACTGGTTTTGTATGAATGAGCTTAAGAATTCTGGGTTTGTTGTTTTGTAAGAGGTAGCACGTTTTGATTACCTGGTTTGTAGAATTGAGTTCAGGGGTTAAACTTTATATAAATGTCTGATATTTGTCTCAGGTCATGAAGCCTGTGGGTTGGGGGGCCATGGTTTAACTGGCTTTGCAATAGCAGTTCTACTGACCCTGACCTCTGTCAATGTGACTGTCATTGCAATAGCGTTTTCCCTGCTAACTCTTCTTCAAGCACTCACACTTCCGCACATTGTTGGGTGAGAACGATGCATGAGGTGCTCTGTGTAACCACGTTATTTTAAGTTTTTCAGTATATAGTAAAGTGCGTTCTCTGTTTGTGTTACTGCCCAGCAGACCAGAATCGGTGGAGGCCAGCCCTGTGGTAGTGGAAAAGTCCAGCTACCCACACCAGATCTACAGCAGCAGTTCACACCATTCCCACAGTTACATTGGCCTGCCTTATGCCGTAAGTACACACACACACACACACACACAC